GTGTGTGTGTGTGTGTGTGTGTGTGTGTGTGTGTGTGTGTGTGTGTGTGTGTGTGTGTGTGTGTGTGTGTGTGTGTGTGTGTGTGTGTGTGTGTGTGTGTGTGTGTGTGTGAACAAAAATTATCAAATTTTCTCATTTAAAACATTTTTTTTACAATTAAATAAAAAAAATATAAAAAAATCGACCCTGTCCGGGATGAGCGGAAATAGTTGTCAAATTGATTGAAGTATTTTTTTAAAAATAAAAATAAATAAAAAAAGTTTGAAAAAATAACGATTTTGCTCAAAAGAACCGATTATTTTATCGAATTTTAATTATAAATAATTTAATTATTTTTGAATGCTTTAAATATCAACTATGTGCACTATTAGGTTTTCAATAGCTGCGAACAAATAAGAGCACATGAATATGTTCGCAGTGGGCATAATTGATATTTAAAGCATTCAAAAATAATTAAATTATTTATAATTAAAATATTAAAAATAAAGTAAATTTCTGGTTGTAAAAATTTATTACTCAATGAATGAAAATAAAGATTACTTTGAAAATTCAGTTAAATAATAGATATTTGAAAAAATTATTCGTCGTTAGTCATTTATTAATACTAATAATTAATTATTATAATATCTCATAAAGTAATTTTGATATTAATAACAAAATATAATAGATAAAATGTATTAAAAAATAAAATTTATTATCGCAGAATTAATATAAGTTAGTACAAGGACTGTATCTCGTTTCCCGGGCAAGTTTGAGCGAGAGCGCGCATGCGCAGTAGTCACTTGACGCGCATTGTTATAAAAAATTAATTATCTCTAAATCTGTAAGAGATATTGAAAAACTATATTAATGAAAAATCTTCGTTTTATAATAATGAAGACTTCTGTAAAAAAAAGTTATTTTTAAACTCCCTATTGTCAAAAAGTCACTTTAAACAATTAAATTGTTAATAACTTTTGAGTGCATAAACTTACAAAAAAATTACTTGCAGATTCGTAATCTACGTATCAGAAAACATTAAGAACACTCATTAATTCTCATAAGACGAAAATTGCAAATCACATCCCTATACAGCGAATGGACTAAATACTATTTTTGAGCCACACTCGACTACTTAGATTATATAATAGCAAAACTTCGACTTAATTTTGACATGAGGACCAATGCAATGGATAGATTTCAATGAAATCTCCCTATAAAAATATTTTCGAAAAAAATTTTGGAAAATTCCAAATTTATCAAATTTTGAATTCTTGAAATTCGTCAAAAATGACGATCGAACTTGAAATTTTGGCTCAATTTTTGTTGTATGATACCTTGTACCGATCTTAGAAGATTTTGAAATTTTTAGGTTATTTTTTTAAAATATGAATTGTTTAATTTAAAAAACAAAATTTTTTTTGTTTTTGCAACTTTTAATAAAGTAAAGTCATGTAGACACATAACCCTGACTTTAAGATTATATCCGAAAAGTAAAAAAAAAATTGAAAATAATTTATTATTTAATATTTCCACCTCATGCATTTGATTTTTTTAATGCTGACAATTACAATACTATGTATCGACATAACTTTACCTTATTTAAAAGTTGTAAAAAACGAAAAAAAAAATTTTATTTCTTTCTTTGATAGAACTTCGTTACATGATAAAAGAAAACTTTAGATCAAAATTTTTCCAAATCAAAAGGGGACGATTCCAACTATTTGTCGATTTGACATGGAATGACCCATCTATATTTAAGCTGTTTTCTCGTTGGGTCATTCCATGTCAAATCGACCAATAGTTGGAATCGACCCCTTTCGATTTGGACGAATTTTGGTCAGAAGTTTTCTTTTATCATATAACGAAGTTCTGCCAAAGGAAAAAAAATAAAAAAATTTTTTTCAAAAGATATGCAAACTCAAAATTTCGCGATTTTTCCAGTTTTTCAATTTTGTTTTTGTAATATCTCGAACGCTAGTAGAGTCATTTGGGGTAAATGTGCGCAGTGGGTATATATATAAGCGTGCGCAAACCCATTCATTTGAGTCCCAAATACATGGGATTGCGCACTCTTACCCACTGCGCACATTTACCCCAAATGACTCTACTAGCGTTCGAGATATTACAAAAACAAAATTAAAAAACTGGAAAAATCGCGAAATTTTGAGTTTGCATATCTTTTGAAAAAAATTTTTTTATTTTTTTTCCTTTGGCAGAACTTCGTTATATGATAAAAGAAAACTTCTGACCAAAATTCGTCCAAATCGAAAGGGGTCGATTCCAACTATTGGCCGATTTGACATGGAATGACCCATATACCTACTTGTTTTAGAATGTATTATTTCGTATTATATGATTTTGAACTTGTGCAAGCTCAATTTAACGCAGTAACACTTTCACAGTTTATTTACAAACTAAGTTCCTCACTGCTGGAAACGATGAAAAAATTTATTTAATCACTTTTTTATTTAATTTTTTTTAAATGACACTAGATAACAATTACGACTTCGAAAACTTGAAAAACGTAATTGCGATAGTAACTCAGTGATGCACGATACTTGAGTAAAAAATGTAAAGAGCTTAAATGATTATTTCACCGATCATTGAGGTATATTTTAGTCTCTTTACCTGCTTCCTTTGGAACAGAATAGAAATTTTTGGGGTAGGCAGCTGATAAGGTCAATGATTGGTCAAAGTAACTGCCCGGGGTGGAGGAATTCTAAGAATGTAGGAGGAAGGGAAATTCGCCGTAAGAACTTAAATTATTTGACAACTTTGAGTAAAAGCTTATTAATTTGTCTTGAAATTGAAAAGTCCTAAAGTTAACAGTCTTCAAGTTATAACAGTTGTACGATGCCAAAAACGAAATTTTTTATAAACAAATAAATGTAACAAGCTAACAAAGAGTAATATAGGCTTGAAATCAATTTTAATGGAAAAATTCATGAATGCTTAACAAAATCGTCTTGAATGTTGATAACTGTATCTTTGAT